AGTAACAAAGGGCATCGCTACTAGGAGCAAGGACGCTACTAGTAGCTACTCGAGTTTTCTACGCACCTTTGACACGACCCCACCTCTGCGAGCATCATGCCAATGGATTCCCAAATCTGGTCAACCCAAGCCTTTGCACTGGCTGCTTCAACGCTGGGGGCTCAGCTTTGGGTAGTTCTGCTTCTTTGGTCTGTGCCTGTGCCTTATGCATTCCAACGACCATGTAACCACTCTATGCATAGATACTTATAATGTTCTATATGTGTATTTCTGGCAGGGGTCAGCCACAAAAGAAAAGGAACACTCGTGCCGGTGCACCCACCAATCAGGCACGTAGGTGAGGAGGCCATCGGATCTGCCATGGCCGGGCAAATCGGGTACCAGCACCAAAGCACCTCGTCGCGCCCATTCAGCAGGGAAGTGCAAAAAGAGGTCACCACTGCCCATATAGCCTCATTGAACAAGAGGAACCAAGCATTTGGCTGAAATCAGGAAAAGCGATAGGCCATCCGATAGGCCCTGGAACATGCGATGTCAATGTTTTTGACATGGCCAGCTGTAACGAACAGAATACAATAACAGAAAACTCGTAGCAATGCTGCCGCAGGGCCATGCAGAAAAATGCAAACATGCGTTACCACCTGCCAAACAGAAAGGCTCCAAGCGCTGCACAGGTTTGGGTTCATGATTCTATGATGATATTGGACTGGAGTTCCCATAAGATCAACCCCCCCGGTTTGAATCAATCAATCACGACATATATGTTGAGTTCCCATGCAACAAGCTTGACCGAAAGCAAACCCAAGGCCAAGGTGGTCAATTCCGAGCCGGAGCTCACAACAGGCACAGTTCTGCGCAATGAGTTGCCATAATCTGCTAGGATGTCAGGTGCCTATTGTTGCACCTGCAAACAGTATCATTTTCTCAACTATAGATCGCAAACGACATGCGCGCACATCTAGCACAAGCAATGTGATGGGACAAAGGCATACAATCATCCAGCAGCTAAAGAGAACTGCAGCACGGTTTCCTTCAGGACAGCCTATATTCTTGATATTTCTTGATCTATCAGGCATGCATGATCCTCTATGAATACTTTCCTCCAAAGCGCCAATCCCCCGCCGTTTCTGGCCTTCTCCTTTGGCCGAATTGCCTGGTAAAAGATTTTGGCACCATCCTGGACCCATAAAAGGGATGCGGCAAGAAAGCTAGGCCTTGCAATCCGCCCCACACATTGTCACATCGGCGCATGAACAAGTTCGTAGTCTCAAATATATATTATACATTATACATGTATATATACGTACTGTATACTGCAATTCACTTCTTGGTGGCAATGTTCTTTTTGGAGCACAAAAAGAAAATGGCATCGCACTACCAGAGTAGCAATTGCGAGTTGAATTCCTTGGCCTCGACCCAAGGGTTGGACAAAACATCGCATCTATATCGCATGTCTAGAGTCTAGCGTCTATCTGTCGGAATTTGCATCAGGTCACTCACATCATTGACCCTAGAGTCTAGAGCCATGGCGAAGCCTTGAGCTGCATCATCTCACGCTTGAGCTGCAACTTCGGGTCGTTCATTACCTGCCCGTGCAGTTTGAAGCTACGAGTGCAGCGGCGTGAGGGGGATCATGCCTTGTGTCGCTGATGGGTCTGGACAATGTTGTGATGCATCCTTTGAATTCCTCCTGTGTCTTGTGAACAGGTTTCTCTCTAAAAGGTAAGCCGACGGACGGATGCAAGAGCCAAACATTGTTTTACAGATTGAAGATCCAGAGCTGTCGTATACGCCCGCTTTTCAGGCGCTCAATTGAAAATCAAAGATTGCATTACTTGCCAGGGACAGGGCAGGGATTTCGCCTCTGCCTTGGCAAATGCTTCATCACAATGGTCGCAAAGAACCACCACACCCCGCAGCACATGAGATTGGAGAACACCGATGCAACCTTTTAGGGATTTCCAGTGTACGACTAACACCAGCTCTGCCCTGTCGTTGGAATCCTCTCGAGCTGATGCCCAAGACAAAAGGGCGGCATTTCCATAAATCACCTTGTAGCCCAAAGCCCGTATGGCGTCGGCAAAGCGCTGTCCGACGCGCCCGTGAAAGCATTCACCAATCAAGGCAAGGAAACTTCCAGCACGAGAAGCCTGCTTGGAAGCCTGCTCGGCCAACTCCAAAAGCACTGGGTCTGCCAACACGTCCAGCTTGCGACCAAGCTTTCGCCAGCTGGTCCCGTGATCAATCACAGTGAGGCTGGGCAACTGTGGTGATTTCACGGACTCTTTGGCCACTGCTTTGGTGCTGGGGATGCTGTCTATTGAGGTGTCGTGCACATGTTTGCTCTCCACGCAGGCTGGAACTGTAGCCGGCCGACTTACATTTCGAGGTCGGACACGGATACTAGATCTAAATGTCCTCTGGTCTGATGCAGGTCTCAGTTTGGGCACCAGGTCTCTTGCCTCGTGGTGCCTTGGCACTGGGAGTTCAGGAGACAAAGAGCGTTGAAAAGCTTGCTGCCTTCGGGTTTGCATCTTCGGGGCTGGGAGTGTATGGTTTGGCGGAATCTCACAGGATTGAGATGACGCCTCACCCTCCCAGGTTGTTTGCACCTGCACGGCTTGATGCGGACCGATCCAAACTGGATTGCCCGTCAATGACTTGGCCCCTTCCAGATGACAACGGACCTGCCGCAAACCATCAAGTGGCAGCAATACCTCCGCCTCTACTGCAGAGCTGCCGCCAAAGCGAAGAGCAAAGCCACTAAACCGGCCCGTGTCCACGATCTTCCCTGTGAGGCAAAACTCATGACAGTGGATGCTAGTGAAGCTAACATATTCTACAAGTGTGAGTCATACAATGGTAGTTATGGATAACACAGGAGAGCAGCCAGTTCCCATCTTCAACACAACCTGAACCATGATTCAATAGACAACCCTCTTCAGCCTGAGATGGGCATCTTGATAGCTTGCCAGGGCGGTAGAAACATGGCCATGCACCGTCTCGGACACCCCCGAGGGTGCAAGACGGAGGCTCGCTTCCATGTGCCATCAACCCAGCTCTGAAGAGAGCCAGCCAGCACACTGCCACTGCTGGTGCCTGCCGTATAGGCACCCAAGGGCAGGAGCAGGGGTCGAGCATTTCGGTTCTCGATCTCTAATCGCAGCTCAACATCTTCACCTCTCCTCCAGCTGGAAAGTTTCAAGAGAGGAAAAGCTGAAGCCGGTGAAGTCTCTGTCGCCGTACATTTCTCTTCCATGGTCTTCCATGGCACATGCAAATTGCACTGACAGTTTTTGAGCAAAAGCATGCAAAAGCATCAAACTCTTTGGTGGTTTTAACAAGCCCAAGTCTGTGACCGATGAATCCAGTGAACGGCATCTTGTGAAGTGAAGGCAGTATCTGTCCGCATCGTAAGAGCGGGACACTTGACATGGATATCTCGCCTTCTCCGCCCCAGGGTTCAGCGGCACTTCAGATGGATAAAGGCTGCGACGTTGCTCCCCAGTGTCGATGTGGGAGATGCCTGCGCCCATGAAGCTCATCCATGGGGCCTACAAGTAGGGCCTAGGGTCATAAGCCATACCTGAATATGTGCAAATCTCTGTGGAATCATTAGTGACCCCGGTCAAACGGTCAGCGAGTCCTGCGACGTTCGTCCGTCGGCGAGTAGCTAATGCTCTCCAAGAAGCGCCGGAGGAGCCACCATCGGCTGCAGGCAGCGGCCAAGAGTCCTGCCGCCGGTGGAAAGCTGCAGGCAGTGACACCAGTGACCACGCTTCTCAGAGGTTTCACGTGTTGGAACCGCGTTGCTGGCAAATGCCAAATCAAACAATCAAGTCAATCAAGTCCAAAGTGTGCCTGACACGCTGACACAAAGCTCAGTGCAGGCTGTTCCCGAAACCCTGGCCTCCTCCAATGACACAGATACCCTCCACCAACACCATGTTCAGCAACTGCTCTCCAAGGGTGGGCGTGTTATGTGCTGGAACTGTCTTGCAATTAATTATACCCGTATGCCGTTGATCCAAGTGTTGTTGGCGGATTTGTTCGTCACAGTCTTGAGCTCACACAACGCGGCAGAAAAATGGGGGTGGCAGTCACATTTGTGTAGCCTATTGTGCTGCCTCAAGGCAGCAAACTGATTGGCACTGTGCCACACAACCGCACATATCTTGATGCATGTCTTTACGGGAAGCACGGTCACGTGACGGCAGAGATCCTCTGTCAAAACAGAGCGTGGGTTTCTGAGTGGAAATCAGCCAAATGTAGAATGTAGTAGTAGTTCAATCGTGTTCAAGTATAGTAATTAGTAATAATCCTACTTGCAATATTCAGAATTCAGGATTGGTTTTGCAAAGGGTGGGTCTTTGCAATCATCTTTTCAGCATTTACGATTCGTGATTCTTCGTGGTCATGCTTGGGGCGCTCAGTTAGAAATGTCCTTCCTCTCTGGGGTGTGTGTGTGTGACTGCTTTGCATACGTTCATGATAGTCTGCGTGGTTGAAGGTTCACCGGACCTCAATTCACAGCCCTTTCGAATCCTCAGACATCTTTATCTTACATATACTATAAATTACTAGCTTCGTGCAAGGGTCCCTTGCCGCAATGACTTCTCGATGCCATCGACATCAAATCAGTTTCAAGTCATCAACATTGACTTTAAAGACCTACCAAACCTTGTGAGGGAACACACCATGCTACTGATGCCGTCCCCGTCATTTCGGCGATATCAACCCACTCGTGCCAACACGTGCCAAGGATCTCGTGTAGAGTCCTTGGAAGTTGTATGGGCCCTGGCCTCCGGTCAACACCCAGCGGAGTAGAAGGTCCAGCTGAGAGAGTCCAGGCTATGCCAGGCTATGCTAATGACATCTAATCTAATGACTGACTAATGATTCTGATGACAAGCATGGCTCAACCCTATCGGGGGCTGCTGATTTTTTTGATTGGTGCTCTTGATTGAAGCCACGTGCCCTGACAGTTCCTTTGGCTCTACATCCGTGGATTTGCCGATCGCACTCCGAGCCGCCCACCTGCATCAGCTCCCTGCTTTTGGCCTCCAATTCCATTCGCAGCGCCTGGCGCTCCTGCCCAAAGAAGGAATCTGGTTGACGGATGTTGACTGTCCACTCTCTTTAAGGTTTTGTATGCCTACCAATGTCAAAGTCGCGGAATATCACATTATGTTACATATCAGAGTGAAAATGAGGGGCAACTGCACGGGTACTACCAGCAGCTGCCCAAATTGGCTTGAAACAATGCACACACCTTCACGCCTTCTCTGCTTGTATCCACGCGGGCTGCATGTTTGTACGGATGGAGACCATTGCCTTACCTTGAGGCAAGCATGGAAAGCTGCAGCAATCCAAAGAAACTTCAACAGGTCTATACAAGAATGTTCTGGCCTCTGCCTATCCTCGATCATCTGACGATCTCCAGATGGACCCCTTGATTCATTCTTAAAACTAAAGTGATGGACTCCCATTTGCATAAGGATGTCCACCACAGCCCAAGGTGTGGCTATGTCATCACCTTCAGACAATGCACTGCGGTGATGTGCTCGCGCTAAAAAAGGCAATTTAGTCTAGTCGCCAAGTGCCAAGTTCGGGAAGAGCAGCAAAGACAGCAAAGGCTGTCCAGTGGCCGGCGACTTGGGCTTGCCCCCAGCTTGGGTCTGTTGTACAAACCAGTCCTAGCAAAATCTATTGGCCGCACAGCGTGAGAAAAAAAAGAAAATGTGTGCAAATTCAATTGCCCACTTCAATACTTGATTTGTTGATGACACATTGATCACCTGACTCTGCCGCTCAACTACCCATGATTGGAGAAATCTCCTGAATACAACGGCGGCAATAGGTGTGGCCTCAGTTGTTCATTAATGCAGTCAATGTATTTAAATGCGTGAGGGGTCTTTGTGTGTCTTTGTGCCTCTAAGTGTGCACTCCGTGCTGTAAAGACCAGCTTTGCATTCCGCGGGCATGCACGGACATGTCCAACAAACATAAGCAAAATCCATGCGATGTCGCTGTGCGCAGTGGGACGTCGAGGCCAGGTACATGTGTTTGGTGGCATAGGCTGTCACATGTGAATGTCAAGCATGTGCATTCCTTGTCTGTATCATCCTACATGTTATCCATTTGTGTGGTCCCCTGAGATATCCGTCTAGGCCCAGGCCTAAGCACAAATCTGGGTCCCTGACCATCAACTGTCATCACCGGGTCCTCTGACAATTTCCGGCCATTGGATGCAATATGATGCAATTGGACTTCGTGTCTAAGAATTCAGTGGGGATGGCATCCGACTTCCCAACTAACAACAACTATATATATAAATTGTCGCGTTCGCCCTTTGAACTGTGACACATGATGACGGAAACCCTCGATGTTGTATGTTGAAACTGTGACAGACCTGGCGCGGTACTCTGGTGCTGTTCCAATGCCATTCCATCTTTTCCTCTTGAATTTCAAGCATTGTCCTCGAGCATTTCGTGACACAAAGGGCAAACCAAGCCATTCACAGTCCTTGGGTTTGGCAGATTCAAATTCAAAGTACAAACCGGCCTACAGCTGCCCCATGCTGCTTCCAACTGCCCCATTCTGACTTTCCCAGAACCCGCTTCTACTCATTCGCGTCACTTCACTTGGAAGCCCGCGCGCAAAAACCCTTTTGCTGTTTGTTGGTACATCGAGCTCAGCATGTCGGATTGAAAATGTAACCAAATGGGATCTTAAAGTGTGAAACCCTATCTTGGGACATCATCATGCAAGCTTACAAGGAGGTATGCGTTCTCTCCAAAGATTGTGGCACCACTTGCGAAGGGCTCCCCAAAGAGCGACTACCACTCCTCCGTCGGGTTCGCCGCCTGCCCGAAAGGCGAAGGCAGGTTGCCTTACCTAACTTAACTCAACCGACTTAACCTAATTGTTCACGACTCTGGCCCTGTTGCGCCACCCGGCAACTAACTCAGAACAAGTCTCAGATTTCAAGTCGGTTCGGCTGTTGCCTCATATACCTACACCATCCATCACCATCCTACACCCTTCGTCCGATCGGCCCACCTGGTGTTCACAACCCTCGTTGGCGTAGCAAAGGACATGATAAATGTCCGGCTGCTCTTGGTCTTGCAAACGTGAATGACCCCGGCCACATAGACCCAGTGTCCGTGAGACCAACGCAGCGCACAGTCGCCATAGGTGAAATTGCGGCTGCCAAGCTGGCCCTGCTCATCCAATGCTGCGGCCTGTTCTTGCACTTGCAGCAACAGCTGAAGCCCTTTAGCACGAAAGATCTCCACAACCTCGAAGAACCGAAACTAGTCATGACTACTTCCATGTGCACATCATGTGTTGCATTGCGTTTGGGACATGTTCCAAGTTGTTTTTAATCATTCTTTGGGACGTATCGTCATATCGGGACCAAAACTCTAAGCATTTCCAAACTCCTCCTCACCCCTCCAGGCAACTGGTCTACCAGCAAGGAAAGCAATAGAAGCTGAAGCAGCATCAACCATAAGGTCCTCCATGTTGATTTCCAGCAAGTTTAGCATTTGCTGAGCAGTTACGATATCTTTCTCACTGTGCTGTGCCTCATCCAGCGGAGGTAAATCCTCTTCATATGGGATGCTGTGGCCGCTACCCCGAGACCGATTGGTTGGGGCCAGGGGCAAAGCTTCATCTGGAGGAACTTCAACTGTTGGAACTTCACCTCTCTCATCTGACTCATGTGACCCATGTGACCGGTCGAGAGATGCATCAGCCCGCGAAACCATCAAGGATCCTTGATCTGTGAAGTCCCGAAGCCCAATCAAATGCCGGGTTGAGCCATCCCAGGTGCCATATCTCACGTGGAAGATTTCCGTCCGGAATTGGCTGCCACAGGAATCGACCAAACGTGTGTGAAAGGCTTGAGCAACGGCGCTTGAAAATTGACATGCATGATCCTCCATACTCAGGTGGCTGCACAAAAGATTCACTGCCCGTGCTGTCTCTGACTGTGGCAAGAAGTCGCTGAAATACATTCCTTTGACACTTGCACCTGGCCGGCTTCTCAGCAGCATGGTTGCCAAGTCTTCCGAGTGCCAAAGCAGGCGCAAATCCTCATCAAGCTCCTCAGGCAAGTCAAGGCATTGAACTGTCTAGTGAATTAGGCCCGATGAAAATGTCCAACACACCGGGTCACAGGGCACAAACAAAGAGATTACTTGCATAATGTTGGATCTTAATTAGCAAACCCCCTAGCAAACAATCGAGGGAGTATGAATAGAATCCCCGCTACAAAAACCATTGTATAGCATCATTAGTAGCATTCGTAGCAGTAGCAGTAGTAGTAGTGGTGGTGGTGGTGGTGGTGGTGGTGGTCGTCGTAAGGATATTAAGTAAGGATGTTAAAGGGGGAGCAATAGTGCAGAACAATAGAAAAGATTAGAACAGTAAACAAAGCCCCAAAAAACACCCTGAGTGAGAAAACCTTTGTGTTATTCCCTCCCACTAAACTATTCAGGATGTTGGAATAATTTGGCGAAAACCTTTTATTATTCCGTTCCATTTTACTAATTTGGATCCAACATTGCCAAGGTCAAACGTCTTCAGAAGAAAAAGAATATGGAACATGAGAATATTCCAGTGAAAAACAGGTTCAATTAAGAACAAAAACTCCAGTGGAACAGGTGCTACTGTGAAATGCCTAATCAGCTCTGTTTGTTGTGGCCTGGTCTGACTGGGGATTGGTGTTGTTTTCCCTCATAACTTGGAGCCTAATCATTCCAACTCTGCAGAACAATACCAACTCTGCTGCGCAGCAGTGGAAAGCACTGGATGGTTCCCAAAGTGTTGCAACAAACTCTAAGATTGGCAAACCGATTCGAGCCAAGGCTCAATGACAGCATCGCAGGTCAGCCGCAGCAATGAGGTCGCCGCACCACATTCCGCTTCCTCACACGAGCGGCGACGAGGAGTCGGTGAGGAGGAGCCGAAAACACGGTTCCACCGGAGCCACGATGACATTGGGCGATGCTATACCAACGCTTGTGTTCGGTTCTGCTAAGCGACTAAGCGAGGTGAAGTCTGTCGAACACCTTGCTGCCGTGCTGACTTGAATTTAAACTAACCTATAACATATGTGCATGTTTCATGCCTGTGTCATATGAGCCCTGTTAATTTCTGAGATGAAGTGAAGTGCCCATACACTGCTGAGGTGCCTACGCTGTAGGTTTCGCGAGGCTTCGCGCGGCGCAGAACCAGGGGCTTCGCGAAGAGGTTTCCCGATGTGGTTTCAGCCTTACATTCTCTTTAAGTTAGCCCTGCCCTCGCAATTGGCCGAATTGGCTACGCCAAAGGCTTCGCGAGACACGAGATTTTGCCACACACACACACATATCATATATAATTATACAATAATGCCTTCGCGGACATTGTTGAAGTTACATATGACATCATATATTCTATAATATGTTCTATTAAAAATGCTCCCGACTGACGACTCAGTAGTGTTCGCAAGCGTCCTGCAAAAGGAAATGGATGTAGTTATGCCTGCACGAAGCCGTTGCGGAACCCCTATCCGACATCAATGGGAGCCTATGCAAAGGCATTTTCCAACCAGTTGCTTATGCCGCGGTAGCTTGCATTAGCATATACACATGACATACATTATCGATATGATGTATATATAGCATACAGCAATAACGTAATAACATATGCAATCTTATGCATGCTTATGCCATGCATAACATTAGTGTCACTAGTGCACTGACTGATAGTGCCAGTGCAATCTGTTATCATCGGCCAGCATCCATTCTTAGTGTCTTAGTGTTTTGGTGCTTATATAAGCAAATGCTTGCCCAACACATGTCACAAGCTTGGGCGGCTGCTTCCGGCAATCCACAGATTCAAGCAAGATTCGGCCCTGCTTTGCGACACCTTCCGTTGCACCTGCTCTGTCAATGAAAGCCTCTGAGACACTGCTGTCGCCGTGACCAATACAAATAAGATCGCCTCGAACCAGGCTGCAACATACAGTGCGTCGCCGCCGCTCTCATAGGTTTTGGTGTTGTCCGCCGCATAGCCATAAATCACCGCAGCCAAACACCCAATGTTGCTGGTAAGCACGAGGGAGATTCTTGTAGTGATGCCAGTTGCAGGCAAGCGAAATGCTGCGAAGGTCATAACTGACCACATTTGCTTCTCCTCCGGAGGTGCAAAAGAAGGGAGGAGTGTGACCACAGTCACCACCGAGCCAAAGCAATACCAGAAGTTGAGAGTCTTCGTCGAAATCAGCCGTGGATACGAGGTCAAAAGGAGACTAACTATGTGGACAATCAAGACCACCCAGCAAAAAGGCCTTTGAAAGACCATGGTCCTTTCGACAAGCATGCTCCACTGGAATGATACTGTAGCAAGAAGAGTGAGCAGAAAAAGGACGCAAGCATATCTGCGGGAGCATTCCACCATCTTCTCACAAATCTTTTGTTCCACGTTGGGATCACCCCAGCCAAAAAAGCCAAAGTAGTTTCTCGCATACTGTCCCAACGTCGTTGCGCGAAAGTCGGACTGCAGCATCCAAAGAAATGCACGAATGCCCTCGCGGTTCATGACCGAGAAGGACCTGCTCGGTTGCTTCGCTTTTCGGCTCGAAGTGATGTTTTTCGACTAGTCCTTATTTCGTGCCTTTTGAGAAGGGTAGGCGGGAAGGGTAGGGGGCAAGTAAGCTAAGTCAACTAAGTCAAGTTATTTTCATTATTAGCCAAGTAGCTACAGTGGTAGTAAGAGAAGCCACTCACCAAGGAGAGCTTGCAACATTCAGCCAAGACACACAAGCGATACAATGAAAGTAGTTTGTGTCACGCAAGCGAGGGATAGAAAGGCAATGTCTTCCGTGTGGACCATCTCGCTGAAGTCGAGGGCAAATCAGCTTGCAGGACTACTTGTGTGGACGAAAAACCTAGTAACGTACATCCTTTGCATGTTCCCTTACTGACTCTGCTGTGGTCTCAAAGCGATGTTCTTTAGAGAGTATGGAGAAATCATTGAATTTGCTCTGGCTCTTTTGGGCCCAAAAAATGCTGCGGGCATGCTGGTCAGGGCCTGAGAATGACGTTGACCCAAATCGCCACGTCTGAGCTCCCAGTGTCACAGGACCTCCCCAAGTGCGTTCAGGTTTCGGCATGGGAGGCGGCAGCTGGCTCGACCCACCATCCAAGCGGGTGTCCTGAAAGCTTCACTTTAAAGGAAACGTTTTACACCAAAACCGGCCCTCCCGGCCGAGCCTCGTGAGCTGGATGCATGACTAGCTGATCTTGGGGTCTTAGCGCGCTGCGAACGGCCAGCAGTCATGACTGACGTGACCCGTTGCATCCAAATGCTAGCTGCTGCTAGCTCATACCGCTGGCAGCTGCACACGATCTTGCTGCTGCTACACTTGCTATGCAGCACATGCATGCCCCTCACACCCTGCCCTGGCGCTGATATGACCCCACCAATTAAATGATGGTAGCAGTGATGCACTCAGCAAACAAGCAAGTCTACACTGCCTGCCCAGCGCATCTAAAAAGAGCCAGCTTGAGTTTGATGAGAGGATATGCTCGAACGGACCGAGCGGGCTGTTGTTTTGGGCCGCTATGCTTCAGATTTCAAACACTCCTCCTCTTCCAAGATCGTTGTTCGATCGAGGAAGTACCTTAGGTAGCGGAGCCAGGTTTCTCAGAAGATCATCTTCTGCAAAGTGCTAAATTCGTGTTCCTCAAAGTTCATAGCATGCATGTGCTTAGTGATGGTCTTACTGTCGCTAGCTTTCGTCAAGATGTCACTACAGTTCGAAGCAGTACCGATCTTCCGAACAACCAGCTCGTGACGAGCAACGCACTGCTGAAGCCACAAGTACCTGACTTGCACGTGCCGTTGCTTTCCTAGACCCTGGCGCGAGGCAAAGCTCTTCGCGCTGCTCGAATCGGATTCGAGCACTAAACCCAACTCGATGCCGATGTCCAGGAAGTAGGACTGCATTCCAAGGCCATGTGCAGCTCCATGCGAAATAACTGTCCACTGAAATCCTGATGTAATCCGGCATCTTCTGTTGATGATACACCAAACTGATGTTGGGGAACTGGATCAAATAGCGAGCAAGCCTTTTGAGCAATTCCCAATGCGCCAACCTGGGTTTAGCCATGCCCTGTGCCAATCGCTTCACAGCTTTAGCGATGTCGGCGCGCTCCTGGGATAGAAAGCTTGCGCGCATCACACCCGATCTGTATCGGGATGCATCCTTTGAACTCAACTCTGTTCAACACTGTTGCTTCCTGCACGCAACCTGTTGTGAATCCCAAACGATGACTCTCTCTCCTTTGATACTTGGACCCAAAAAGCTCCTTCACCTTATCAACTGCTTCAACCGGTCCAAGAACATAAAACTCATCGCCATGAACTGCACCTCGCGAAAACTCTTCTGCATTGTAAAACAACGCCGGGTTTGCTGCACCAACCCGATAGCCGCCTTCACGAAGAAGTTCTTGCCGGTCCAACATCCAAGCATGGCTTGCGTCTCTGAAACCATACATGCCTCTGTTCAACCGACCGACAATGTCACCTTCCTCCGGCTTCTTGTCCTCCTCAGGGATCTCGACATACAACTCTCGCAAGACCTTGGGCATGAAATGGGCCCTGGAAATGTCAAACACTCCCATGACCAGCTCTTTGTCCTGCTTCTCGAAGTCGGTGACCAGCAATGAAAACAATGCTTTCACCATTTCCCACGGAGGTGTAGTCGAGAACAACTCATGAGCCAGAAGCGCCTCCTTTGTCTTCGCTTTCAGCTCTTTGCCAACAATTCTTGACCTCACCTTGTAATGGGCTTTGTCTCCTTTGTTGACATCTACCCACCGAACTGGTAGGATTGGTTTGCCGCTCGCAACTGCTTGGCTCCTGGGGACTTTGTCGTAGAGTCCGATCTTGTGGATCCATCCGATCTCCTCTGCACGCGCCTCCTGAACCAACTTCGATGGCAGCTGTTCTCCTGAAATGTCATCATAGATCATAGAACTGTTCAACCTTCTCTTGAAACTCCTCAGGGAACAACGGCTCTGTAGGATCAGGACCACTGGAGTATGCCTGAATCGAATTCAAACAACCATCAACAAGCATCTGGTTCTTGATGCCCTGGAGGACCGTGTACACAAGCTCGTCCGGGTACTTGGCACAAAGATGAGCAAGTCCACCAATGAGCGAAATGTGACGATGTAGAGGTCCACCAGTCCTGTTCGCGCAATGTCTGTCCAACAACTTTGCAACCTCCTTGGAGTTGGTGACGAACTTGGTTGCCTTGTACACCAACCCTCGTCCTTGCTAGGGAACTTCCAGACCCATGCCCCAAGCACACATAGGCCCGACCACAGTGAAAACTCCTGCACGCTTCTGAAGTTTTACCATTCGTGGATGATCCCAGGACTTTGCTCCAACGGGGCGCTCATGGAGAAAGTACTTGCCCTTCTTCCAACGCTCCTCATACAAATCAATGCTCAAGCAAAGATGACGTTCTCCTCGCTCCAAAGCCTCTCTGTTCTTGGCGTTGTCGAGGTAGTACTTGTTGAGGTTTTGCAAAACACTGAAAGGGTCACAGCGCGGACTGCCTGTGAGTAAGAAAGGATCTTGCACTTCGATCAACTCCTTTGAGCTGTTTCAGATGCCCAAGTCCCAACCTGTCTCAAGGTCAACAGCGAAACCAGCATTGAGCCCCAAACGCGAAGCTCCTCTTGTGAATCTCGGCGGGCTGAAAATCTCCGCCACATCAACTGCGCCAAGCTCCTGCCTCTTGGCCGCAATCTTCCTTTTCAAGCAGTCGATCGACTCGACTCGCTTCCACTTCTTCTCTGACATCTCTTCCTCCTCATAGTCAAAGCCGAGGTAGGAAATGTCGTTTGCTGGATCCTGCCTCTTGGGCGCTGTTGCCGAACCTGAAGCCGCTGCCGAAGACGAACCGGCCTCTCCTCTCGCAAGCACCTGTTCTATCGTGGTGTCACCTGCACCCACCGCCACAACTGGCGGTTCACTTGGCACGACAACCTCAGCTTCCTCTGCTTTGGACGCCGATGGATCGAGCTCCTCAACTGCAACCTCTGCTGCCCTTTTGTACTGCATGTGTCCGACGGACTTCCACCTCTTGCTGGGTGACTCAGGGCTAGACGGCTCACTCCGCTTTGCCCCTTCTTTCTCAAACTTCTCCTCGATCCTCACCTTCTTCTTAGGTGCTGCACTGCTCTCCTCATCTCCTTTCCTCGACCTCTCAGCCTCTGCATCTGCTCTCTTCTTGAGCTCCTCTTCCTTCTGCTCTGACCTCAATGCGACCCTGTCTGCATGCAGCTCAACTCTGCGAGGGTCGACTAGGCCAACAATCCGACGACGACATTCGTCGGAATGAGCCACTGGACGGGCTCCGGCCTTGACAGCTGCGCAACCTTTGCAGTTGTCAGTGAACCCATGACGTTCCACGTCTGCTTTGCGCACGTAAAAGGCTCGTGCGTCTGGCGGGAGGTCCGGCGTTGGTGGCGCCAGCCTCGCACGCCCAACTGAAGGCAACGCTGGTCGAAGATGCGTTCCTTCTCGAACACCTGTTCGTGATGCTAGATCCCAAGGGAATCCTGCCAACTCCTCAATGCCATCTGTACTCCATCTCTGACTGGGTGGCAAACGCTTCACAGCCAAGCCAATCTTCAAACCATCTGAAGAAAGCCCCATCACGGAATTGGTACGCGCATGGTGGCCCACAAAACGAACCGGGGATGACATCGGTTCCCAATCCAGCCTGCCAGCCTTCTCCTTGGCCTCACGGATGTGAACCAGCTCTCCAAACTCAAGAGCAGGCTTGTTCCACTTCTTGCCGTAGGCTCGCTCCTAGGCTGCGCTTCCAGAACTGTCCTTCCTGTACACGTTGATCGGCTCTGCAGCGAAGTTCGCGATCCAGGAAGTCAACGGATGATCATTAGGAAGGCTCATGTTCAGCTTTCTCTCAAGCGACAATCGCAAAGCCCTCATCTGCCTCTTCAGCTCTCTCATTGCCACCTCTATACCTCCGTTGGCCTGGTGATCTCCAACAGGCGAATTCCTGTTCACGATCTCGATGTCCGGCAAGGATGCCGATACGCTCGTCTTCAAAGCCATCAAGGCTGGTTCATTGTCTGACATGTGCACCAGCCTCTTGTGCCCCGTCTCGGTGACGAAGCGGGCCACACCTCTTTGTGTGAAACCACTGTTGCTCTTGTCCGGCAGCGCAAAAGCTCCCAACATGCCTGATGGTGTCGACTTCATTGCCAAAAACGGCGATGACTGCATGAAGTAGAGGTCACTGTGCACTGTGGGTCCCTCTTCCTTCTTCTCCTTCTCTGTCCTCTTGCGGTGTGGTGTTCCTGTCGATCGAGCTTTGATGCACGCTTCACACCAATTTCTGTAGACAGCATGATTCTGGGCCTCATGCTCTTCCACCTCCGACTTTGTGGGATTCCTCACCCTGGTAGGGCTCTTCACCAAGATGCCCTCAACCGCCTCCGGGACATACCAGAAGTGCGTTTCCATCTTGTGCACCATTGGCTCGAACTGGTTGTGAATCTCGTCGAAGGACATGGAGTCGTGGATCTTGTCATCGAAGATGAGCTCGCTGGTCTCCTCATCGTAGCTCAACCTTCTGAACACCTGGGACCATTTTGGTCCTTCAGGCCAGGTGCCTCTTGTAGTGAAACAGTTGAAATCTTTGCGAATGGCCAAAAGTGCCCCTTCAGGGATTCCAGCCGGTCTTGCACTGGGCGTCAAGCCAACTTCAAATTCTTTGGGGTTCATGTAGTCGACGGTCTCTTCCGCCAAAGCCCAACCCCTCCATTGCGGAGACTCCTCACTCTCCTCTTCCTCATCTTCTTCCATCCTCTGTTCCGGGCCTCCTCCGCCCTGGCTCATCATCGACCGGACTTACGGCCTCATGGCCTGCCGCTCGTTTCCCGAGGAGGCGGAGTCGGAATCCAAGGTTCCCAACTCCTGCAAGTCACCACGCTGCTTGAGGTAGATGTTGTACAAATTGCCCTCCTTGTAGAGCTTCAGCATGCCACGCTCACCATTGACCTCGATGAGCTGCCGGGATTCCTCACCCTGGTAGGGCTCTTCACCAAGATGCCCTCAACCGCCTCCGGGACATACCAGAAGTGCGTTTCCATCTTGTGCACCATTGGCTCGAACTGTTTGTGAATCTCGTCGAAGGACATGGAGTCGTGGATCTTGTCATCGAAGATGAGCTCGCTGGTCTCCTCATCGTAGCTCAACCTTCTGAA